TGTCAGTATAGGATTTCGATAGGCTAACACAACCAAAAATTGACTGATACAATCAATTAAAAATGCTATGCCATATTTTACCATCTAATTTGCTGCAGCAGCCAATCTTTTTTTTCAGTGCATGGCTAAAAAATTTTATTCAATTCTTTCTACGGGTAAATCAGAAGTATTTACTGTCATAGTTCTTGCATTCCATATGGATTAAGAGGATCCAAAAGTCGTCTGTTTTATTGACTCAATAGGACTTACACAGCTGTAAACGTCATATTAGACTAAGAAATCATAAAAAAGATCTCAATTTAAAAAGTTTGTTCGATTCTCCATTCATAAACTTTACCTCTCAGGTATGGATTAGATATGCGCATATTTTAATTCTGGAAAAGGATATTCAAAGTTATAAAAAAAGAAGAAAGAAATTGCGACATAAAAATTATTACATTTAATCAGTATAGTAGACGACTATAGAATCGAGCAACCTTATTATAGCGATTGATCAGCGATTACATATGTTTTTATTGTAAGTTAGTCGTTTAAAGATAGTTTAATGTAAACCGAAACGTTTGGATAATATTTGTAATTTATCAATACAATTGTCTTAATTGACACTAACATCGTGTTTGATTCGTTAATTACCTCTTTTACAACTTCTTTAATTTTTAATTTTGTGAACCATTTAGATACTTATTTTTAAAAAAAATTATTAATAATCTAACATTAATAATTTAATTTACAAATGTATTTCGTATTTTAGTGGGGCCATCGTTATATGAACCTATTCCAGGATGGATAGATAACGTTTATGGTCCAATAGGCATTTTCATTGGTGGCGGAAAAGGAATATTACGAGTAGCCTACTTAAATAAAACTGCTGAACAAAATCTCATACCAGTAGACATTGTCACCAGAGCTATACTAGTCGTTGTTTGGAAGTTGGGATTAACCACGTATGATCATCAATTTATATATGCGAGAATTTTTAATTATATTAAATTATAAACACGGAAGCTTTCTTTCTCTACTGGAAATAATTCAATTCATGTTTACAGCATAGCAGTTACATATTTTATTCAATCCGAGTTGATAAATCTAAAGAGGAATGCTTAATTGATTTTTGTAGATAGATATCTGCATTATGTAATATTTACAGTACATAATTGTTCAAATATATAATGTTTATGGTATATATTGTCAATGTTTAATAATATTGTATTTATGTTTACAGTAAAATCAAATTTCAAACCTATTTAAATTTTTTTCAACTAAATATTCAATTGCATTTTAAATATCAATGCTTATTTTTCAGTAAAATTATTAATGATTCTTCCTAGCTGTTGTAAACTAAAATTAAGTATCTGAAAATTTTTAATAATTCAATAAAATTTTTATATATGTATTCGATGTTTAATTTGTCTAAATATATTGAATAATTAATTATTGATTGACTTGGAATCTGAATTTTTGTTAGTTTTCAAAGGTTATTCATACATTCTTGATATCACAAAAGTGTAAAAAATAAAACTTTAAATTTGCTATTCTTTTGTATTATTTTATGTACTGTATTTATATACGGAACGATTTTTTTTATTACTTAATAAAAAATGGCTCAGTTATGGTCCTCCGAAAGATATTTTCCGAGATTGGCAGGAGGGCTTCCGCACACTCACTTTCATACGCAGTAATAGGTAAACAGTAAGCAAATCAACATTTTTTTATTTGTTATTACTTACGTTCTTATTATTATTACTTTATGTTCTTTACTATGATTGGTTGAGTCGCTTAAGGCTTAAGTCTTACTGCTTATGTTTTTTCTGCTATAGTCCTAATATTTTACTTTATAACACGTTCACATGTCCCGCTAATTTATGTGATTCTATCATGCCTAGACATGGATCATAAGTGACTGACGGTACTTTTGCTTGTGAGAATCAATTATATTTGTTAAATAAACTATATTTTATAATGTATTTTATTAAAACTTACTTAAAATTATAATTATTATAAAGATAGCTTAACCTTTCATGGTTACTGTGAGTCGAAATGACCTGTTCATCATCTTTCACGCTAGATTTCAAAACCTTCCTGGCATCGGAAGAACGCGTACCTGCCATCGACTGGAGATTTTGAAGCTTCAACTATCGATAGAGATGCTTAGCTTTTTAATCAGACCATTAGTATTAAATTAGTATTAAATTACAAAAATAAGCAAGGTGTGGATTGTATATGTGTTTGTGTGTGTGTGTCCTTTAAGTAAAGACAAAAAACGATAAGAAAAAAATGTCCGTCATGCTTATATATGACCCATCCAAGCAGCACAGAGTATTTATGAAAATATTTATTAATATTCATTTTTTTAAATGTTATATAGATATTTCATACATATTTTATATAAGGCTTTATTCGAAATATTATTAAAATATAGACCAAATATTTTATGTAACATATATGATAAATATAAATAAATATTTCTAAAAAGTATTTTTGACTTGGATTATAATGTATCATTAAGTATTTTCACAGCATTTTACTATAATATTTACAATCAATATTTCATATTATTTATAATAAATGTTTATGATCTGTGCAATCTAAGAGACCACAAAAATATTTACAAAATGTTTGAAATAAATTTTACAAATATTTACAAATATTTTGTAAATATTTTATAAATATTGTGTGCTGTCTGGGATGTGTGATAAACGCACTCTTTAAATCTAAATCAGTGGATAATTTACTGAAGTGGCATATTTGGTATTGAATTACCAGTATATCATACAAGCGCTAATTGACACTAATTGCACTTACAAGCACTAATTGGATAATCATTTAGTGAAATTCAACTATAAAACAAAAAAAGTTTGAGCATTATATAGTTAAAATATTGATATTTGTATGTTCTAGCACATTATAATTCCAATTTTATAGTACCATATATGTACGTTGAATACGCTACACTTATGCCCTGAAGCAAGGTTCGCTATGGGTTAGGGATGTCACATTTCATTCATTAATTAGCAGTGGCATATTTGATACTGAATCAGCGATTATCCACTGATTCGGATTTAGAGAGCAGACTGTATTTGTGTACTGAGATTGCTGTGGCGAAAAGTAACGTTTTTTATGTATTTTTTGTATGTATTATTTGTTTTTCGCTTATATTTGTCTTCAGTATTAATAATAATAATAATAATTTTTATATTAATAATAACTTAAATCATAATAAATAGTCTTTTACCCGTATTTAACATCTTTTTTACATCTAAAAAACGACCATCTTCTACTTTCAAAATAAATATCTTTTTTGAAACGTAACTTCTACTTTCTTCTACTTTCAAAATAAATATCTTTGACGCGTGTAACCATACTATTTTTTTTTAAAGTACATCATCTCAAGAGTATTAGGCTAAAACTGTATTTGAAAATATTATAAATTTAAAAAGTTATAATTTTTTAAGTGAAAATATTCATTTTTTCGAAGTTAACACGTTTACAATTTTTTTTAGTGTTAAAATTAAATTTTTTACTATAACACTATTGTTCCATTTTTTTAAAGGATGAAATCATATACTGTAATTTTTTGAAATTAATGGAACCAATACTTGATTTGATAACACTTCAGATACGATTCGGATCATTTTAACTCAGAGTAACCATCGTGTGGCTTTTTTGAAGTGTGACCATGAAGGGTTAAATGGAAAGAGTCAAGCGTGAATTACTTGTGATCCATGCGACATGGAACGTGTTAATAATATTTGTAAATTACACAATTAAAAGTTTATTGTATTTTATAAACTTAATACAAAACTAGAAAATTTATGTAAACATTAATTAATTATTATTTATGTTATTTAGTTATATGAATTAATTTATTGTTTTGTTTATTGTTAGCTCTATCACAGGTTCCTCATCTTTTGTTTTGAATTGTACATCTGAACATCTCAGGACATATGAACAAGATATAAAGATATTATTCGATACTTCAAAAAATGAAATGCCTATGGAAGGAGTTCTTTGGACACCTCATACGATATTGACTGATAATTTTGTTCAATTCTATACATTAACAATATTATTGAACATTCTGCCAGCTATATTAATAGATCTGATTTTAAAATTTTCTGGGCGTCGACCTATGTAAGTCTAAAATTAAACATTAAACTAATTTTGTAAATGCAAATTATTTCTGCATGTATTTCATTAAATTAAAATTTATATATTCTATACACTAAAATATTAGGTATATTTTCTTTAGTAAAAAGTATCTTATTACAACTTAATTATTACATTATATTATATTATCCTTCTCTCTCTCTCTCTCTCTCTCTCTCTCTCTCTCTCTTTCTCTTTTTATCTATAAACTAACTATTTCTAGCAAATACAGATTATAACAAATATGTAATGTATGTCCAGGGATGAGCAAAATACTCAAAAAACTGTATTTAAATACAAAATACAAAATATTCTCAAAAAAATATTCAAATATGAAATACAAAATACAAAAATGTATTTAAATACGTATTTTAAATACATGTATTTCAAATACTGCCCACTCTTGGTTATATGTATAAGTTATACAATAATTATATATATAGTTATATACATGTTATATTCCGTATTTGTACGATTGAATCCCTTTCTTGTACATTTAGAAAAAATTTTCATATAATATCACAACTTATAATAACATATAATATCTGTACAGAATGCATTTAAAAAAATTTCTTTTTCCCAAGCAAACAATTTTCGTTTAAAAAATGTTTAGCCGGAACATTTTTATACATTAAAAATGCAGATAGACAAAATTAAATAGATATTAACGTTAAATATACTTCTATTTCAAACTGTTGAAATGTATCGTATAAAAACGGTATTTGAAATTAATAAAAAAGATATTAGTAGACATTACAAACGTTTTATAAACGTTATTTCTATAACATTTCTTATATATTTATTTAAACGTTTATTTTTCAGTTTACATGTTTATTACACTATTTTTAACGTTTATTAAATGTATTTGGAATTGTATTTCTTGGGGTACTACCTTTGTGGATTTTGAGTATCTATAGTATCTAATATAAAAAGTTATATCTATGAATATCGTTATATAACTTAACAATTTGATAATAGAAATTCAACAGCCTATACCGATCGAAGTTAGATCTTTTAATGCTTTAAATAATTCAATGTGAATTATATATATTCTATATATGTACTTGCATATATAACATATTTGTAGTTCTTCAAACTGCGTGCCGAATTGGTTTTCCGGACTTATAAACGCAATTAAACTACTAGAATAATATCACGAATTAAATTAAATTGACAAGCAATTCTTAAATAATTTTTGATGCACAATCAAGCATCATATTAGCAAGATGTTACTGTGCTGAAAAATATTCCAGTAGTTTAATTGCGTTTATAAGTCCGGAAAACCAATTCGGCGCGCAGTTTGAAGGACTATAAATATGTTATAATATATATGCAAGTACATATATATAATTCACATTGAATTATTTAAAGCATTAAAAGATCTAACTTCGACCGGTATAGGTTGTTGAATTTTTTTATTATTAATTGTGTTTCTCACATTGTTCGATCTAAAAATAAGATTTTTATTGTTTAACAATTTGATGTTAATTTTGACTAACATGCAAATTAGGTTATTTCAACTGTTAAGAAGAATATATGTGGCCAATTGTGCTGTGAGTTATTTTTCGTTTCATAATTGGAAATACAGCAATGCAAATAGATTATTTCTGATATCTTTAATACCACCTGAAAACCAGGAGAAATTTTTTTTTGGTTCTTTCGATGTAATAAAAAGCAATTATGTTGTGTAAGTTAATTATTATATTTGTTATTCTAAATAATGTCTATAATAAAAATAATTTAAAGCTAATAAACATTTATTTTACGATATGAAGCAATAGTATCAGGGGTGTAAAACAATTTCTTCTTCACGAAGATGTAAATCTTCGTAAATTGGATGCAGTCAAAGCATATAATAAAAGGTATAGGATACATTATAAATAGTACTTGTTAACGTTTATACATTTTTGCATGACATTTAAAAAAATTGGCTTTTATTAAATAAGGTATAATAACAATAGAATGTAAAAACAATAATAGTTAGAAGTCTAATTACTTTCCGAACATTAACGGATAAAACAAATCTGTATGTGAAAAAAATAGAAATAAGATTTCTAGTTACAAATTTGTTTTTAGCAATTACATCTCACAATTAGATAAATATATCAAAAACATTAAAATCTTGATTACAAGCTTAATATTATATTTATTATGACATAATAAGACATTTTTAATAACTATTTATAGAAAAATTAATCATAAATTACACACTGTTAATACATTTTGTATGACGTAAATAGAAAATATCATATTTAGGAAGAAGAAAAAGTTGTAGATATAATAGCTTTAGTACATATTAAATGATAAGATAGAATTTATATAATATACGTTTAAGAGATATAACTGAAAAATATAATTAAGATATGTATATATTAATCGTATTTATTCTACTTTCTAGAATGTATCTGCTTGTTGGAGTGATAAAAACTATCATCTATATCGGTGTACTTTGGTTTATATATAGACAGATCTATTTTTATACATTATAAATAATAATATCTATAAAAAAGTTGATTAATCCATGTTATACATATAACGAACTGTAATTTATGATAATCAAAATAAATATATAACGCATAATTTAAGAAATAGCAAAATAAAAATAATTTTTCATCCAAAAGATATTTTCCTTCACAGACTTCTCTCATTGTATTACTAAATACTCTAATAGCACAGATTTCCAAGGAACGTTCCAAAAAACATTCAGAGGATATCTCTATGTCCTGAGAACGTTCGACAGAACGTCCCTCGAATAAAGTGTACTATTAGAGTAACAGAAATAATTTAGAATTTAATGTTAAACATTATACATACATTGTACATACATATATGTATGTACATATATATATATAAGGTGTATAAATTAATTCTCGGCCTCAACATTTAATAAACTGCAGCACTTATTTGAGCGAAAACTTATTCACGCGAAGTTTGGTACTGAATAATACCAATCTAATGGAACTACAAAATTCAAAATTCAATTGATATGACTTCAAAAAATTGACCATGAAAGTAAGCAACACGATGTCGTGCGACAAAGTACATATTAGGCACTGCTTATTTTTCGTGTTTCAATTGAAAAAAAATGCTTCCGAGGCGAAGGAAATGATTTGTTTGGCATTAGAAGAGAATACTATATTCTATAATATGTGTAAAAAGTGGTTCCACAAGTTTCGGGATGGAAATTTTAATCTCGAAGATGACGAACGGCCTGGACAACCAAAGAAGTTCGAAAATGATTTGGAGTAGTTATTGGCAGAAAACCCATGCTAGTCCAAATCTGAACTTGCTTCAGCATTAAAAGTAAAACAGAACGTCCCTCGAATAAAGTGTACTATTAGAGTAACAGAAATAATTTAGAATTTAATGTTAAACATTATACATACATTGTACATACATATATGTATGTACATATATATATATAAGGTGTATAAATTAATTCTCGGCCTCAACATTTAATAAACTGCAGCACTTATTTGAGCGAAAACTTATTCACGCGAAGTTTGGTACTGAATAATACCAATCTAATGGAACTACAAAATTCAAAATTCAATTGATATGACTTCAAAAAATTGACCATGAAAGTAAGCAACACGATGTCGTGCGACAAAGTACATATTAGGCACTGCTTATTTTTCGTGTTTCAATTGAAAAAAAATGCTTCCGAGGCGAAGGAAATGATTTGTTTGGCATTAGAAGAGAATACTATATTCTATAATATGTGTAAAAAGTGGTTCCACAAGTTTCGGGATGGAAATTTTAATCTCGAAGATGACGAACGGCCTGGACAACCAAAGAAGTTCGAAAATGATTTGGAGTAGTTATTGGCAGAAAACCCATGCTAGTCCAAATCTGAACTTGCTTCAGCATTAAAAGTAACTCAGCTAGCCATTTCTATTCGGTTGCGAAAGCTGAGAAAAATTAAAAAAGAGGGCCGTTGGATTCCGCACGTTCTTTCCGTAGAGAACAAAGCGAAACGCTATGATATGGCTCTGTTTTTGCCTTTCCTGCACAAAATAGTGACGGGAGATGGAAAGTGGGTGTATTACAACGCAAACAGACAAAAATCATGGGTGAATCCAGATGAATTTTCTACATCGATCGCAAAATCCAATATTCATGGCAAAAAAGTTCTTTTGTGCATTTGATGAGACTTCAAGGGTGTGATATATTTTGAATTGCTTAATCCGAATGAAATTGTCACTGCTGAACGCTACAAACATCAACTTCAGCTTGTAAGTGATGAAATCGAACGTAAAAAACCTTTTACTGGCAAAGGGCCTAGACCGGTAATATTGCTGCACATCAACGCAAGATTTCACACGACGAAAGCGACTAAAGACACTCTTAATTTGCTGGGCTGGGAAGTTTTGCCACACCCGGCGTATTCACCAGACTTAGCACCGACAAATTTTCATTTATTTCGGTCACCTTGCAGACTCACATTTTAAGACATACGAAAAAGTCGAAAATTGTGTTAAAGATTTCATTGAATCAAAACTGATGTGTTTTTATCGAATGGGGATCCGCCAGCTCCCTGAAAAATGAAAGAAATGTGTCGATTTTGATGGAGATTACTTTTCTGACTGAAGCATAATTTCATTCTATGTGAGTAAATCTTAATTCTTTAAAAAAATGCCGAGAATTAATTTATACAACTAATATATATATATACTATATTACATAGTATATATTTACAAGAATGTATCTTTATTAAATAAAGTACAATTTGCAAGTAAAATTGTATATGTTTCTAATGTGCAATACGAAGGTAAATGTGCAATTATTTGCATTTGTAATAAGTTATCTACAACACTATTGCAATCTTTTATAGAAAGAATTATGTTCTTAATATATGCAATTTAATATAGGGTATTGCGCGCTGGGATTTACGCCTCAGAAATCAGAAAAAATAGAAGGAGTGGGGGTAATTTTCCCGTAACTACTCTGTTACGTGCCTTTATGTTATATTCGTATTATGTTATGATTTCAGCTTCTTACTGTTAATATTAATGAATTTATTGTGAGTTGAATCGATTTGTCACTGTAATAAGTAACGCCATCATAAGTTATAATCTACATAAAATGATTAATGTAGGACGTGTAAAAGACTTAGTGGTTATTTTGTGATACAATACGTGTAGTGGAATAGTAAAGCATGTTTGTATTATTAAGCATGTTTGCATTATTTGTAAATTTTTCATGAGCCGTACATACCCCCTTTCCCCCTATGAGTAGCCATATATCCCACTCCTATGAGATATGCGGCAAAAATACAAGGTTTCAAAAAGTTTATTTTTTAATATGAAAAATAAATATTTCGGATTTCTAATATTTTTTTCATAGTAGTAGACAGTACAAAATTTTTATTGATACAGTTTGTTTACTATAAACATAGTAAATAATATTTAATAAATTAAGTTTTTGATAGGTGCGGCGTATATACCGGAGTTACCCTCTCTATAAGCAATATAATATATTATAGTACCGTATATGTGATAACACAAACTATAGAAATTAATGCTTTAAACGGTCTAGCTGGAGCTTAAATGCTTCTATGATTCTGTGTGAATTTATATACTATGTATGTAGTCCTTTGAAAAGCGCGCCGAAATGATTTTTCGGTCTTGAAACGCTAACTCTACTAAACTACCGCAGTAATACCACGAGTTAAATCGATCAGCGATTTAACAATTTGATGCTTTTTCGCACGATCTTCGAACGATCTTAATAATGCTGAGTGACATATTAAAATCTGTAAATAATTAATTCTTATATTGCGAAAAATATTACCTAGACCGGGAGTCGAACCTGGATCTCTTGCTTTCCGGGCGAGCGTCCTAAGTCTTTAGACCACCAGCCTCGGTTGAATTCAATTAGATTCAACTGGATTCAATTGAATTGAAAAACTGCATTTTCTAATTTAAAATTTTGAATTAAGAAGTATTTACAAGACACAGGAGACGCTGATATTATTTTTAGATTGAGAGGCATAGAAATATATGTACTTCATACAATTCCTATAAATAAGTAAAGATGCATTCGGATTCATCTTAACGATCGCGAATATGTATTTTGGAAAATCTGAATCCATTTCAATCTATTCTCATTTACTAGGTGATTATAAATTAAGGAAAAGAGGATTGGAAATTGAATTAAATGATGCATAAGTTCATTCATATTTATACATCGATTTGTATATATTGTAAGCTTAATTTTCTTATAAATAATTGCAACACAATACATATATTAAAGATAACAAATTGTTTGTAACACATTACCTATGCACATAACTACAAATTGCCTTTTGTATAAGGTATAACTCCAGAAGTTGGAAAAAATAGAAGGAGTTGGAGATAATTTTCCCGCAACTACTCTATTACATGCCTTAAGGCATGTTGTATTAGTATTGTGTTATGATTTCAGTTTTTTTACTGTTAATATTAATAAAATGTTTGTGAATTGAATCGATTTGTTACTGTAATACGTAGCGTCATTATAAATTATAATCTATATAAAATGATTAATATAGGGCGTGTAAAAAAAAAGAGTTAGTGGTTATTTCGTGATAGATAAGTGCAGAGGAACAAGTAAACAACTTTTTATAGCAAAATACAAGTGCTTTGCTCTCGTATTTTTTGTTTAGTTTGTGAATTTTTTTTTATATATCCCACGTTTGGGATATACGGCATTTTTAGCGGGCGGAATTTATGCCCAAGCATACAAAGTACACAGATTGGATTCAGTGCACTAAATGCAATAAACGCATTACATAAAATACGTACTTCATGTAACACTTGTAATATATGTAGAAAGATTATAATTATTACCTATTACTTCATATATATATTTATCATTCTTGTTCCTTAATAAAACTTTGTAAACATATTTTATATGTTATTGTGTCATTTTATGTCTTATTTATAAACATTAGTTGTAAATTTTTTATGAGCCGTATATATCCTCTCCCCTATCAGTAGCCGTATATCCCATGCCTGTGGGATATACGGCAAAAATGCAAGGGTTTCAAAATATTCTTTTTTTAAAACGAAAAGTAAATATTTCGGATTTCAAATATTTTTCTCATAGTAATAGACAATACAAAGTTTTTACTGATATAGTTCGTTTACCTTAAAAATAATAAATTAAGTTTTTGTTAGATGCGATGTATATACCGGAGTTACCCTAGACATTAAAAATCCATAAGATTTTATTTTGTAAATGATAATCGGCTCGCGTGAAGGAGGCACGGCAGTGTCTCACGCCATGTCATAGTGCCGAGACACTACCGTTGTCTCCGAACTTTATTTGCCACTTTTTGTAAATACCTTCCGTATTATATAAATATTCACAAAAAATTTAATTCTATATAATAAATAATCTCATTATTTTGAAAATACAGTAAGTATCCAAAGAGAAACACCTTTCAGTTAAAAAAATTCTTTTATGTGCACAACATATGTTTGATCATAAAATATAATTTGATAAATGAGGAGCAGACTTTCAAAATGTGTTTTGTCCAAAATTTGTAATTTTCAGAAAACGAGAAAGAAAGGAACGCTACGCACACAAGAAAATTACGCACTTTACAAAAAATAACAATATGTCAATCAGTATGATGTGAAATATTAAACAAAATTGCTAAACAATTGCTAAAAATGTTAAACAAATGTATCTTGTTTGTCTCTAGTTAAAAAACATAGTGCATTTCGAAATGTCTATGTTTTTTCAGAATATAAATTAACGATGAAAAAATGCTTTCTGAACATCTCAGAGTAGCTTATAATATGAGTCTTTCAATACTGAACACTACGCCACCACTAACTAAAAAAATGAAATTTTGGAACAAAACGCATTTTGAAAGTCTGCTTCCCAAATAAGTCTAAATCAGCAATTTTATAATGTACTGGAGAAGACCCACTTATATATTATCCATAGTATTCCAATAGAGATAATAGTTTTTATCATTCTGACGAACAGATACACTCTAGAAAGAAGAATAAATACTATTAATATACATTTAAATTTTGATTACATTGTCTTTCGAACAAATGTTATATAAATTTTATCTTATTATTTAATATGCATTAAAGTCTTTATATCAACGACTTTTCCTTTTCCTTTGACATTTAATTCTAAATTATTTGCATTATACAGGATATATTGATAATAGTAAGTAATTTATGTTCAATAATTATTAAAAATGTCTTATTCTATCATTCAGATAACAAATATAATATTAAATATGTAATTTAGATTTTGAAATGTTTGACATTATTTAACTAAGGTATAATTATTAAAAATGTAAATATAAAAATCATATACCTATTTTTTATACATTTATAATTAGATTTGTTTTATTTGTTATTTTCCGAAAGATAATTAGTTTAATTCTTACTGTTATTATATATTGTTATTTATATAACAGGGGAGCCAATTTTTTAATTAAATTAATTGAATTATTTAATTGAATTATTTAAGCATTTTAAGATCTAGCTTCGACCGATATTGGATTCTAGTTTATCGATTGTGTTTCTCACATGTACGGTCTAAAAATGAGATTATTATTGTTTTAATTAAATGTTACACAAATATAAATACTATATGAAAATAATGATTAATATTAATTATGAACCATTTTTACCTTTTATTATGTGCTTTGACTGCTTCCAATCGACTCATGTCTTCGCGAAGAAGAAACTTTTTGCCACCAATGGCACCATTTCTTCGTATCGTAAAATAAACGTTTTATGGCTTTAAATTGTCTTTATTGTAAATATTACCTATTTGAAATTAGAAGTATAATATACACTTACTTGCAATACGTTCTAATATCAATATTAGAACAGTCCAAAGAAAACATATCAAGATTGTCACGTGGTATTAATGACATCAGAGTCAACCTATTGACACTGCTGTATTTCCATTCATGGAACGAAAAGTAACTCACAGCACGATTGGCCACATATATTCTTCTCTGGAGTTGTACTAACCTAATTTACACTTTATTTATTAACAAGAAACGGTTCAGCTAATATAGCTTTAACTATATAACTCAATCTGTGGATTGAGAATTTAAAAATATAATAAATTAAGGAAAAAACAAGAAATTTGAAAAGCATAAATACATATTTATGGATATATAATCATTTTATATAAAAGTTTTTTCTAAATATGTTTTCTAAATAATAAATCTAAAGAGTAGATAAAAAGGAAGAATATACACGTAAATTGTATTTCATATGAAGGAGGAAAATCATTAAGACCGTTTTTCAGCTCGCTCAGGATTCTCAGAAAACAATTTTTTTGTATTGTATGATTAGGAATGTTAAACATTTCAATATTAAATCCATTATTAAAAATGATAAAAATAACCATTAAGTGAGAAAAAATTCAATTCATAATGAATAATTAGTCTAGATATACCGCTATGGTACCTAAGTCCTTTCTATGACTAATAAGTGAATTATATAATAAAATATTTTCTCTCATTATACTGCTGTGCCGTAATATTAATGTTCGTTTACAGGGTTGGCAAGTAACGCCGTTACTTTTTTGATCATTATCTTGTTATAATAATGATTTGGTAATGACATTGTAAAGTTTTTATGGTGGTAATGCTAACATCAGAGTTAGAAAAGTCAATCGTTACTTGTAATGGATTGAAAAAGTCATTCGTTACTGAAAACAATAACTTCTAATTTGTAACGCGTTACTTTTTAGTAACGAGTAATGTTACGCGTAACGTTACACGTTACTCGTTATACTTGTAATTTTTTCAGTGTAACGCGTAATAGTGACAAGTTACTTTTCAAAGTGACTTTTCTAACCTTAGTACAATCTTAGCGTTTAATTAGTTAGCGTTACCGTCATAAAAAATTGCAACATCGTCATCAAATTGTTTACTATAAAAAGTAACGACAAAGTAACCGAAAAGTAACGTTTGCCAACTCTGTGATCGTTTAGATTACATGTATCATTCTTAAGATAAAGATGAATAGAACTCATAATAAAAAAGTAATTTTCTATTATTCCTGACATATAGATGGCCACAATAAATAGGTAATCACTGTTAGTTGCCAACAAACTGAAGTCTACGCACTGCTAAGCTTGTGATCATTATTTTAATATTTTTCTTATTTCATCTTTCTTTTCATTTTACATTACAATTCGATTTTTTAAATTTATTTTTTAATTTTAAGTTTTTTGCACGTATTAAACACTACGATCGTGATTTTTAAGTATCAGAATTTGACAATTGCTGCTTAGGTAATAGCTATATTATACTATACTTAGATTAATAATAATTAATTATGATAATATCATTTTTAGACCGCGTATGTGAGAGACACAACCGGTAAATAAGAGCCCTATACGAAGCTAGATCTTAAAATGCTTTAAATAATAATTAATTATGACTTTATGGATTGAGTTTCATTCCTTTTTAATAATTATTTTTGACATTCCTAATGATCATGCAATAAAAAAGAGATTTTTTTTAAATTTTAGGCGTACTAAATAATGGTCTTATTGACTTTCCATCTTAATGATAAAAAAAGATGAAAATGAAGACGAGAAGAATCTATTGAACTAGTTTTAACATTTAATATTTAATTTAAGACTTACATAGGTTGGCGTCCACCGAATTTTAAAATCAGGTCTATTAATATAGCTGGTAGAATGTGCAATAATATTGTTAGTATATAGAATAGAACAAGATCATCTGTTAATATTGTATGAGGTGTCCAGACAGTTCCTTCCATAGGTACCTCATTTGCAATACTAAATAACATCTTTATACAATCTTGATATGTAATGTATTTCTGACATGTGCAATTTACAACTAAAGGTATGGAATCTGAAATGCTAATAATAAATAAAATTATAAATTAATTATGAAATTAAACGATAAATAATAATAGACTTCGAATTTGCATAAAGTTTTATAAAATCTGCATTAAGTTCCAGAAAAATAATTTATTACTTATGAAATTTTTTATTATATAAAACACAACATATTATTAAAAAGTATCAATCATTTAATACGTTTCGGTAACCTATCCGAAAACATAAATACATAAAAAAACTTAATAAATTATTAAAAAATTATTAGTTTTCTCTTACACAAGGAGAAGGTGTAAATAAATTTATTTAATTCGAGAATTGGTTTTCAAATTTTTTAAGTATAATCTCTTTGTGTGTGATGAAACTAAAGAAAATGTAGAAATCATATAATAGTTTCTTGAAATGCAACAGAATTAATGTAGATGACCATACTGTAAATATAGATTCATATACAGGGTGTTTCCAAATTAAATGGCAAAACTTCGGGAGCGTGTAGAGGAGTAAAAAACTAAGAAAAAAAGTCCTATAGACATATGCTCGTTTT